ATTTGGAGGGAACAAGTGAGGAGAGCCTCTGTTTCCTTCCTGCAGTTCTAAAATCAGAACCATACCTTTTAATAAGATGTATTAGTTGGAAAAGGTGCTATTAGACTCCTGATTTTTTTATTTTTTTTTGGCTACCATAGACTCTCCCTACAGTGTTTGCAGACCTAAGAGTAGCCTTGTAGGGTTTAGTTGGGGTTCTGTTCTGCATCATAACTAGCCAGATGTTTTTAGGAAGCCCAGACGTACATTACGGGAATTCAGTAACCATCTTTCAGGGACTATATTGCTGTCCTGACTAATAAAACCCCACATCTATTTAACAGCATTTATAGATGGCCCCAATCTGACCACCTCTAGTGGTGATGAGTTTGAATGACAGTTTTTCATATTTTAGCAGTGCTTTTCTTGTTGAATTGGTTTTTGTACTTTGTGACTTTGCTTCGTGTATTGCTTTTCTGTCCTGCTTTTTTCTTTGAGAGTTCAGGGCTGTGTAAGGGAGGGTCTCTCTTTTTATCTTCAGAACAGTCATCCTGTGAAGCAAGATGGGCTGAGGGAGTGTGACTGCCTCAAATCATGCCTTGAGCTCTGTGGCTGAGAGGGGTCTTTCTCCCAAGTTGAAATCCAATGCTTTAACCGCTACATTGCACTCTCACTTTTGTTTCCTGTGTGCTGCCTTCAGCATCCTTTTCAGATAGAAAGGCAAGGTAGAAATCCAAAAATGAATGCATCATCCTTCCTAAAGTTGCTCATTCAATTTTGAAGCTGTGTGGGTCGACAGCTTCCATCTCATCGTAGCGAATTCTGCACTTTCTCTATGCACTCTATGAAGAACCTGTCTGGTCTGAATGTCTTCCTGTTTAATTTCATAGAATGAATCCATGAAAGTTCTAGTATTGTGAAAGAGGGGAGAACAAATTCTCTGCTTTAGTTTTTTCCATGCAAGTTTACAAAACTTCTAACATGCTTTTCTCCTCACCACTCTCTACTATTCTCTTATACTTCTTCTAAAGATATTAAAGCCATAAATGTACCATTTCTCAAAGGAATGACCCTCGCTGTTCTCCAGAAATTGGATTGGTCCATTCTGCCATTTTCCTTATCTATAGAGTCATGGTTGAGATTTATTTATAAAGCTTAGATCCCATACTTCTTTTTTTAGCAATCCCACATTTGGGAAGTCACAGCTGAGCACAAGTGATGCACTTATCTCAAGGGTAATGCCGCGCATTGTGCCAAGCCATGGTGGCTTATAAATCAATTTCACAAACGATAGCAGTTCCCTCAACCCACTAAGCTAAAGCAAAATAAACTACAGAATGGCTCAGAGAGATGTGTAAACTAAGCCGTAGGCTTTATCATATTGAGTTCTCATTATGATAATCTACAAGAGACTCTACCATGTGTGGGCAGATTGAGGCTGATAGAATTTACTTCTGCTTGTTATTAGGATCCTAAAAATCCATCAACTGAAGCCAAATGCAGAATAATGGCAGCTGGGACTGGAGGAGGTGAACCAGTTGCCTATTCCATCCTGTAAGCCATAAAGTTGAACAAATGTTCTTTGGTGTTACTACGGATCAGGGAGGCAGCCTAACACCATCATACTACCACATGCAATAAAACACAAATTCCTCCACACAAGCTTGACAATGCTGTTGAGAAACACTTTTTTTTCCTTGTCTTTTGGGGATTTTTGAACCAAAATAATGTAGATGTTCACAACATTGTTCCCTCACCCATGGGGGCAGTGAGGTACAGTTGGTTACAATCAAATTTGATTATAATATGATTGCATATACTAATTATAACATACCAAAAGCAATATAGGTACAGTGGAACCTTGGTTTACGAACTTAATTCGTTCTGTGACTCTGGTCGCACCCCGAATTGGTTGCAACCCGAAGGAAATTTTCCCATAAGGTTCAATGTAATTACCGTTAATGCATTCTGGCGTGGAGGACAGGGAGGCGGCTATTGCTTGGAGGGAGAGTCCCCCTCTCTACCACCGCGTGTCAGGGGCAGAAAATGGCCGCGGACCACGTGTCAGGGGCGGAAAAATGGCCGCGGACCACGTGTCAGGGGCGGAAAATGGCCGCAGACCACGTGTCATGAGAGGAAAATGGCCGCATATCCTGCTCGTACCCCGAGGCGGAGTTT